CCCTCCGCGCCCGCCCGGGCCTGTGTCCGGTCGGGCAGGTGGAGGTCAGGCGGGTCGCCACCCGCCGGTGCCCTCGGCCGCGAAGCTGAAGCTCGGCCTTTTGTTGGCGGGTGATCCTGACCCGGCAGGGGCGGGGGATGCACCCCTTTGTGAACGGGGGAGGGTCTTCCTGTTCCGGGGAGACCCCGGCTCTCCGGGATTGCCCCCCCAAGAGATCCCCGCCGCAGTGCGCGTTGCGGGCCTGGCCCCAGCGGCTCGCCCAAACCGAGGCTCCAGACACAGTGGCCCCAGATGTCGCTCTCTTCTGGGGACGGCAGCCCCGCGATGTTGGTGAGGTGGTGGAGAATAAATACCCCTACTCCAAAGCCCACCTCTAGTAACTATTCTTTGTTGTTGTTGTTGGGGTTGAACTCAGTGCCTAGCTGTTGTCCCTTACCTTTTTCACCCAAGGCTGGTGGGTGCTCTACCACTTGGGCCACACCTCTACTTCCATCTTTATTTTTTGGCTGATTAATTGGAGATAAGAGTATCCATTCATGGACTTGTCTCCCCGGGCTTCTTTTTGACTGTGATCCTCAGATCTCAACCTCCCGCATGTGTGTGAGCCGCACATATTGGTGTGTGTGCCCAACCTAGTGCCTTCATTTCCGTACAGTTTAATCACGACTCTGAAAGACGAAATTTAGAATAATGGGGCCCCGGAAATGATTCGAAGTCAGTTGAGGCTGACTGATTCTGTGCTGCAGTGTGCTCATTATCCACGGGTAAATGTTCTCCTTGCTTCTGGAAGGCTTCGTCATTTTGCACTCTTCATTTTCATCTAATGCCTTCCTCCTGGTAGGCAAATGAACTTCTTGAGGATCTGGCGGGTGGTTTTGTTTTGTTTTGTTTTCCACATGATCTTATTTTTTCTAAGAAATTAAGAATGGGTAACGTGAGAGATTTCCTATGGACATTTTCAATTTGGGGGCGGTACTCATTAATTTCTGGTCAAGTGCACTTGGTTTGGATGACTGTGACTGTGACTGTGAACTTACTGAACAACCTGACCTCACAAAGAAGGTGTGCAGGACAGAGTGCAAGATCATTGACAAAGGAGCTAGTCAGAGGCTGCTCTGGTCCCGTTTGTGCTTGTGTAATGAGCTATCTCACTGAGCTGAGTTGGAATCCTGCTTCTGCCAGCTGCTCCCAGAGTGACAGGGAAGATTTTTGAGTGGCCTGATTTCCCCTGCTCCTCCTCTTGGGGACAGTAATATCCATGTCATGGTACTCTTATGTGACTTATGAGGCAAACACATGCAGAGTGGATGCATGTCCAAGCTCATGCAGAAGAAAAAACTGGACTCCATATTTTAAGTAATTGTTCCCAAACTTCTGGCTGATAGGTTTTTTTACTTTGGCCAGTTATAACAACATTCAGTTCCAGTTACCTGCTGTTAATCTGGCTGACCAGCTTCCTGCCAGGAGTAAAGGGGAGAAGCACCTGTGTGCCCTACCTTCTGGACACACACCTTATCAGCGATGCAGCTCTTTTCCTAGTAGCATGAGCCACTCACACCTGTGGACTTTGAGGGCTCCTCTGCTGGTAACTGGGCTTCCTCTTTCTTCTTGCCCCAGTGGGACTCATTCCTCAGAACTCCCTCTCTTCCTAAGTGTGTCACATTAAGTTGTAATTACATATTAGAGATTCCCCCCTTTCATTAGGCTGCTGACTGAGAGTAGGATCCCTGTGTTATTCAAGTTTCTTTCCTCAGTGCTCAGACTACACATGGCGTAGGTCAGTGCTGCAGTTACACTGGATTTCTTCCTGAGGAAGTGAAAGGTTCAGCTATGGAATTTCTGCATATACCAGCTTTTCAGCCTTTACTTGGCAAAACCAAACTGCCACCTCTTAGTGCATAGTTCCTTTACTATTTTCAAAAAGTGTGAGGGCTGTTGTTTCTGAAGAGGGCATAAAGAGGGCATAGGTCTTCCTAAAAATGAATTTTGTGGAGGTGTATGCAAAGGCTTTGTGGTGGGGTGAGTCTGTCTTGAATCATGCATGGGCAATGAGGAGAGAAGGAAGAGAGGCCTTGTAGACTGGAGATGGGGGAATTTAGATTTATTATAAGCGTAGTAGGAAGAGTTTTGAACATAGCAAGGATAGGTATTTGATTTATATTTTAGGAGGAATCCTGGACTGCTGTGTGAAAGAAAATACATTAAACAGAGGAAGGGAGAGAGCCATTTGGAAACTGCAAGAGTAGGTTGCTCAAACTACAGTGCACTGGGGTAAAGAGCAAGTGAATCATTGTTGTGGAAGAAAAACCAACAGTATTTGAGTGACAAGAACAGGGACTAGTCCAGAACAACCAGAAGTCTCAAGAAGGGATAGACTGAGCAAGGAGCCTGAAGCCTGCTGAGTTGACGCAATTTACAATTTAGTGTTTTGATTGGTACTGGGGCTTTAACTCTGGATCTCTCACTCATGCTCAGCTTTTTTTGTACATGATAGGTACTCTACCACTTGATCTGTGACTCCAGTACAGCTCTTTGCTGGTTAATTGGAGGTGGAATCTTTTGGACTCTTCTTCCTAAGCTGACTTCAAACCTTGTTCCTCCAGATGCCAGACTTCTAAGTAGCTAGAATTACAGGCATGAATCATCAGCCTCCAACCCCATCTTTTTATTCCCTTTGGGATTTTTGTTTGCCTGTTTGTTGTTTGTTTTTTCAGTACTGGGGATCAGCCTAGGGTCTCACAAATGGCTGTGCACATACACTGCCACTGAGCTAGTAACACAGCTGTAATCCTAGCCACTCAGGAGACTGAGATCTGGGGATTGTGGGTCATAGCCGTCCCCGTGAAGCTCTTAACTCCAGTTAAACACTCAAACACCAGAAATGGAGCTGTGGCTCAAAGCAGTAGAGCACTAGCCTTGAGCAAAAGAGCTCAGGAACAGCACCCAGTCCTGAGTTCAAGCCCCACAACGGACAAAAAATAATAATACAAATAAGTAAATAAAATGCTGTGTGTGGCAGAAGCCCTGTCTAGCAACTTCTTTGCATGTTTCACTTCTAGAATGAACTTTGTCAATTAGGTAGGACTGGTGTCATCCTTCTTTCTATCCATACATTTGTCTCCTTCAGGATCCATGAGGACCGGAACTCTTTTATCTTTTATTTACCATAGTGCCTGGGCCAGGAGCCTTGCTAAATATTTGAACTGGATTGTCCAGTGAGTGTGCAGAGCTCATTTGTAGACAGGTGTCTCTTCTAGCTCTGGGGCAGGAAGGATTTGCATCGTCCAATAGCTTCCTCATTAGTATTTTTTATCCTTTGCTTATAGAGACTTTCTTGTGAGAATGTAAGATGGATCCCGAAGAGCAAGAGCTCTTAAATGATTACAGATACCGGAGTTACTCCTCGGTGATTGAAAAGGCTTTGAGAAACTTTGAGTCCTCAAGTGAATGGGCAGATCTCATATCTTCCCTTGGCAAGCTCAACAAGGTAAGTGGCTCGATTCTGTGTGGACTGCATGGGGGTTGGGGGCACACCTCTCTGTATAATTGCAAAGGACTTGTAATGATTACAACCATTTGAAGATACAGGAAGAAAAAGCCACTGGTGATCCTGCTACCCATAGTTACCTGTGATTAGCTTGGAGTGTGCAAACCTCATTCCAGCATTTTCTGAGTATAGGGTGATTTATAGTGTTGATATGGTTGCACAGCCTTTGTCTCAGTGGTGTTTTGTCTACACGAGATAAAACTTGAAATTGTCAGCTCAGTTATTCAAAGATTGTTCCCTATGTACTGCTCAAGATTGTTACTCCATTTTTTTCTTTCCTCTGCCTTTTTCCTACCCTTTTCTGCTATCTTATAATTCCAAAAATAATAAAGTATGAAATAGCAGTCTGTAATCCCAGCTACTAGAAGGGAGAAACAGGAAAATCATGGTTTGAGGCCACCCTAGACCAAAGTTAACAAGATCCTATCTCTAAAGCAGGCTGCACCCTGATGATCCTAGCTACTCAGAGGATGGAGTCCTGAGGTTCACTGCTTCAAGACCAGCTCAGGCAAAAGGGCAAAACCCTATCTAAAAAGTAAACCAGCCAGGTGCCAGTGGCTTATGCCTGTTAATCCTAGCTACTCAGGAGCCGGATCTGAGTATCATGGTTCGAAGCCAGCCCACGCAGGAAAGGAAAGTCAATGAAACTCTTACCTCCACTATACTACCCAAAGAATCTGGAAGCAGTAGAGCTCAAGCCTTAAGCTCAGGGTTAGTGCATAGGACCTGAGTTCAAGCCCTAAACTGGCATTACCAAAAAAAAGGTAAAAGGAAACAAGACTGGGGCTGGATGCTGGTGGCTTAGAACTGTAATCTTAGCTACTTAGGAGGCTGAGTGGTAAGGATCACAGATGAAGCCAACACAGAGAGAAAAATCAGTGAGACTTATCTCCAATTAACCACCAAAAAGCCAGAAGTGGAGTATGGTTCAAGAGTATAGCATCAGGGTCTGAGAAGGTGGCTCAGTGGTAGAGCGCTTGCCTTGCATGCCTGAGGCCCTGGGTTCGATTCCTCAGCACCACATAAGCAGAAAAAGCCCGAAGTGGGACTGAGGCTCAAGTGGTAGAGCGCTAGCCTTGAGCTGAAGAGCTGAGGGACAGTGTCCAGGCCCAGAGTTCAGGCCCCATGATCAGAAAAAAAAAAAAGAGTATAGCATCAGCATGGAGTTAAAATAAAATAAAATTAAACTAAACTAAGAGATTGCACACAGCTCTGAGTTCAAGCCTCAGTATAAATCAGTCAGTTTAACCAGTCAGTCAATCTTCCTTGTTTTATGTACATAAGCATATGTACACATGTGTATGTGTTTGGATGAGAAAAAAGGGTGGGGCCTGGGAAGACCTCAACAGGTCAGGTGCAGACTTGACTCAGAACATTCATTTTGCTAGGTGGATGGGACCATGGCATTCTCCCATCCTGCTTAGAAGGAGGGTGTCACAAGCACTCTCTAGCGATCTCAAGCGACCACCCACTGGAGCATGTAGATAGAGGAACTTCTGGGCTAGAGATGGGACCCATCTCAGTGACCTTGTGAGGAGGACTTGAGTTTGGAACATGACTGCCAAATGGGATTGGGAGGGGCCCAGCTCTCTTCTGCAGGTGGAGCCTCCCCAGGTCAGACACGCTGGGGACTCTAACAACCTCGGCCAGGAGACAGTTACCTTTCCTCTACCCATCAACAGAGGGAGTGAAGAGTGAGCAGCCTGACCCTGGTGCCTCTCCTGGAAGCAGTCCAACTCTGCTTGCCAGAAAGTACCTCTCAGCCCTGACAGGTGGCTGTCAGGCTCAGTGGAGATAGGCCGCTATTAACAGCTCAGGCAGGAAACTGCTGGTCCCTTCCCAGGCATTTTACAACATGCAAATATGGAGGCCAAGAGCTGGCTGTTGTGCACAAATGTGTACTTCTGAGGTCTGCTTTTTAGAGAGGAAACAAGAGCTTGAGAGTCCTTTATGCAACTCCAGCCAAGGAGGTCTGAAGCTGGAGGTAGCATTTATGGACCTGCTGAAGGCAGGCTGCTTATTTAGGGCAAATGGAGAGGCTGCACAGTGGGACTGAGGCGTGTTCAAGTTCTGGTTATTTCACCAGTTCTCTTTTTTTTTTTTTTGGTCGGTGTGGGGCTTGAACTCTGGGCTTGGGCACTGTCCCTCAGCTCTTCAGCTCAAAGCAAGCACTCTACAGCTTGAGCCACAGCACCACTTCCGGTTTTCTAGTGGTTTATTGGAGATAAGAGTCTCATGGACTTTCCTGCCCGGGCTGGCTTTGAACTGTGATCCTCAGATCTCAGCCTCCTGAGTAGCTAGGATTACAGGCGTGAGCCACAGGTGCCCAGCTGTTTTACCAGTTCTGTACCTGCTTACCTGGAGTCTATAGACGGTGTACATTTTTTGGGCAGAGAGGGGACCATAGTGTTCATTATTTTTGTCTTTTTCTTGAGATAAAACTCACCACTTATACCTTCTGAAGTGTACAGTTGAGTGGCTTCATTTACAGAATGTAATGATCATCACTGACTAGTTTCAGAACTTTTTCCTTACCCCAAAAGGAAACTTTATTCTAATTAAATAGTCCTTCCTGCCATTCTTTCCTCTCCAGCCACCAGAAGCCACCAGTCATCTCCATCTGCACGTATACTTCATGTAAATGTAGTGTGCAGTATGCAGCCTTTTACCACTGGCTGATTTCACTTAGCCTAAGGTTCTCAGAGCGCATCCATGTAGCGTGTCTGAGAATTTACCTTTTAAAGGCTGAACAGTATTCTGGGTGGACCACGTTTTCTTTATCCAGTTGTCAGTGGACAATCTTCTAAGTCTCTACCTTTTCACTCTTGTGAGTAATGATGCTATGGGTATTCCTGTATGCATTTTTGTCTGAACAGTTGATTTTTTTTTTCCAGTGCTGGGAATTGAATCTTGTGTATTTATGCCAGGAACCACTAGCTGCGTCCCCAGCCGTATATCTCAGATTTTTCACATATATACTTAGAAGTGGAATTTCTGGGTAATCTAGAAGCTCTGATTAACTTAGTGAAAACTTACCAAACTGCTTTTCTTGTCAGCAGTAACCTCCTTACATGCCTACCACCAATTTCTGCCAATCCTCACTGAGACTTATTTCCAGGTTTTTCGATAATTACCGTCCTGATGTGCATGAAGTAATACTTCACTGTGGTTTTGATTTGTTTCCTAGTAACTAATAATTTGAGATATCTCTGTGTTTATAGGCCATTTGTTTTTTTTTTTTTTATTGTTGTTGTTGTTTTGTTTTGGTGCTAGTTCTAGTACTAGGGTTTGAATTCAGGACCTCAAGCTCTAACTTAGCTTTTTCCCTTAAGGCTGGTACTCTACCCACTTCAGCCACATTTGCATTTCTGGATTTTTGGTGGTTAATTGGAGATAAGAGTCTCTTGGATTTGTCTGCCCAGATCTCAGCCTAGTAAGTAGCTAGGATTACAAGTGTATAATCATACCAGGCTTATATCTCTTTTAAATGAATTTCTACTCAGGGACTTTGCTCATTTTGAATCTTTTTGTTGCCTTTCATGAAAGTTCTTTCTTACATTTTTTTTTGTTTTTATTTTTGTTTTTGTTTGCCAGTCCTGGGCTTGAACTCAGGGCCTGGACACTGTCCCTGAACTTCTTTTGTTCAGGGACTTTTGGCTTTTTCTGTTTATGTAGTACTGAGGAATTGAACCTAGGTCTTCATGCATGCTAGGCAAGCACTCAACCACTGACCCACATTCCCAGTCCTCTCTTATACTTTTAGATAAACAATTTGCAAATATTTCCCCTTTCTTTAGGCTGTCATTTTACTTTTTTATTTGTATGTTGGTTTTCTGGGCCAGTATCTCCTTGTATAATCCAGGCTGACCTTGAACTTTGTGTGACCCAGATTGGCTTAGAACTTACATCCATCTATAGCCTTCTGAGTATTGGTATTACCAGCATATATGCTACCATGCCTCGATTTCTTTCGTGTGTGTGTGTGTGTGTGTGTGTGTGTGTGTGTGTGTGTGTGTGTGTGTGTGTGTGTGTGTGTGTGTGTGTGTGTGTGTGTGTGTGTGTGTGTGTGTGTGTGTGTGTGTGTGTGTGTGTGTCCTGGGGCTTGAACTCAGAGTCTGGGCACTGTCCTTGAGGTTTTTTTGCTCAAGGCTAGTGCTTTTCCGCTTGAGCCAGAGCTCTACTTCTGGCTTATAAGAGGCTCATGGACTTTCTTCCTTGGACTAGCTTTGAATTGTGATCCTTAGCTCTCAGCCTCCTGAGCATCTAAGATTATAGGGACAAGCCACCAGCCCCCGGCTTGTTTAGCTTTTTGATAGTGTCCTTTGCACAAAATTTTTTATTTTGAAGCCCAACTACCTATTATTTTTGTAATTTTCATTTTAAGAACAGCCACAGTTGTTGGTGTTCTATATAAACAATGGCTGCCAAACGTAAGATCAGAAAGGTTTAGTTTTCACACTAAATGTAGGTCTTTGATCCATTGTGAGTTAATTTTTGTCCATGTGTGGGAAAGGGAGGTCAGCGCCTCTCCTTTGCCCGTGGAGACCCAGTTGTTCTGGCACAGACTGTTCTTTTCCTGTTGAGTGGTCCTGGAATCCATGTTGGTAATCAGCTGGTCATAGAGGTATGGCTCTGTCTTTGGACTCTTGTTTCATTTCCATTGATCTGTCTATACCATGTTAGTACCATATTGGAGGGGTTTTTGGGGGCGGGGGATAGGGATTTGTTTTGTTTCTGTTTTGCTCTGGGGATTAAGCTCAGCTTCATACCTATAAGGGATGTGCTCTATCACTGCACTATGCCTCACTTCCAGTCACACTATTTTGGATGTTTTTGTTTTTTTATTTTGTGCAGTCCTGGGGCTTGAATTCAGGGCCTGGGCACTGTTCATGAGCTCTTTTGCTCAAGGCTAGCACTCTACACTTGAGCTGCAGTTCCAC